TTATTTGAGTTGTTATTTCTAGCCGGTAATTCCTTGTATAAATTAGGCTGCTATCTGATGTAATTATTTGATTCGATCAAGTTTATCAATAAAAGTCAATTCATCTTTTCTTTCAACTTCTTCTTTCTTCTTGCTGGACTTTATCATGGTATCAGAGATTGAGATTTCAGCAATTTTCTTTCTGGTAAACTGATCGTTTCCTTCAGATATTCTTTCTGAAGCTGGTTGTTCCTCTCTACACTCTATACTCTGAAGATGAGTTCTCATAACCCCTCAGATGATTCCTCAAGTCCTTATTACCTTCATCCCAGTGATAATCCTGGTGCTATGCTGGTATCTAAAATGTTCAGTGGAAGTAATTATGTTGCCTGGAGTATATCCATCACTATAGCCTTGACAGTAAAAAATAAGGTTCAGTTCATCGATGGATCCATCTCACCTCCTCCTACTGATCAGTCAATTAATTACACAGCTTGGTTGAGAGCAAATAATCTGGTTCTTTCTTGGCTGATGAATTCTATTACCAAGGATATCCGCAACAGCCTTCTATTTGTTGCATCAGCTACTGATTTATGGAATGAGCTCAAGACCAGATATCTGAGAAGTGATGGTCCACGGGTGTTTCATCTTGAAAAATCCCTAAGCTGCATAAGCCAAGGTTCCATGTCTGTGACTGAGTATTTCAGCTCCTTTAAAACTCTATGGGATGAGTACATTAGTTACAGACCTTTCCCAACCTGCACATGTGGAATAATGACAACTTGCACTTGTGATTTATTCACATTCTTGCAGAATTGCCAGCAATCTGATTATGTATTGAAGTTTTTGGTTGGTTTGAATGACTCTTTTTCTTCTGTCAGAAGCCAACTCCTTCTCATGGTTCCCTTGCCTAGCATGGCTAAGGTGTTCTCCTTGTTACTTCATGAAGAGAGTCAGAGGATGCTCACTAACTCTACTTCACATATTGAGACACACGCTTTAATGGCACAACGCAACAATCATCCAAATTATCAACCAAAATCATTCAGAGACAGATCCAAGGTTCCCTCCCCACTTTGCACTCATTGTGGTTATACTGGACACAAGGTTGATTCTTGCTATCAACTCCATGGATACCCTCCTAACTGGACAGGACCAAGAGGAAAACGAAACGCCTCTGGCAGATCCTCAGCACATGCAGCTATTACACAGGATATTACCTATCAGACTAACAAAGAGCAGCCAAAATTATCCTTCACTCCAGAGGAATTTCATAAACTCATAACGCTTGCCAATTCAGCACCAACTGATCCTTCTACCACTCAACCAACTGTTAATTTTGCATCTACTTCTCAGTTTTCTGGTAAATCACGACCTGCTATATGTTGTAGCTCTATTTCACCTGCTTTAAAATCAAACTATTCCTGGATTCTCGATACAGGTGCTACGGATCATATGATTTGCTCCCCTTCTTTGTATTATTCTACCCCTCAAGCTGTTAATACTTTTGTTTATCTCCCTAATGGTGTTAGGATTCCAGCTTCTCATAGTGGCACTATTTACCTCTTTAACTCTCTTTTCCTGCATAATGTTCTTTGTATCCCTTCTTTTTCTTTTACTCTGATTTCTGTGTCTAAGCTCACCACTCAGTCTAAAGTCTATCTTACTTTTACAAATTGCTATTGCACCTTGCAGGACCAACTAACGAGGAAGATGATTGGGACTGCTATTGAGATGGAAGGACTGTACCATCTACTCCAAGTTTCTCCGCAAATTCAGACCAGAAATCAATCCAACTCTGCACCTCTTGCTTCAGCCATAACTCACCAGAACCTTGATATATGGCACTACAGACTAGGACATGTTTCTAGCTCCAAATTGATTCCTCTCAAGCAAATTGAGCCTTCTATTGCTTTTGATTGTACTCATGTCTGTGACATTTGTCCCTTAGCAAAACAAAAGAGGCTTCCATTTTCTGTATCACTTCAAAGATCAAATAAAAAATTCGATTTAATTCACTGTGATATTAGGGCCCCTTTAGCACTGTCTCTTATTCCAATTTCAAGTTTTTCTTAACTATAGTCGATGACTTTACACGGTGCACATGGGTCTATATGTTGCCAAATAAATCTGATGTTCCTTCTATACTCAAAACATTCTGCCGAATGGTGGAAACTCAGTTCTCCACTTCTGTCAAAATCTTACGGTCCGACAATGGCCCTGAATTTTTTCTCACTAAATTCTATCATAAACACGGCATTCTACACCAAAAGAGCTGTGTGGAGACTCCACAGCAAAATGGTATCGTGGAGAGAAAGCACCAGCACCTTTTGTGCACCGCTAGAGCTCTATTATTTCAAGCCAACCTACCTCTCCAATTCTGGAGTGATTGTGTCCTAACCGCAGCTCATATCATCAATCGACTTCCCACACCTCTTCTCCAAAATAAATCTCCCTTCGAAATGTTATTTGATAAACCTCCAAATCTTTCCCACCTGAGAGTTTTTGGTTGTCTCTGTTTTGTTTCCACCCTTACACGCCATAGGCAAAAATTTGACTCAAGAGCCACCAAGTGCTTGTTCCTAGGCTACCCTTCTGATTTTAAAGGTTACAAGGTCATGGACATTACTACTAACAGAATATTTGTCTCCAGAAATATTACATTTCATGAGTTAATCTTCCCTTTCAAAAATATTCCCCCACCTTCTGACCAACCCTCCTCCTTATTCCCTATACAAGATCCTTTTCCAGATTTCTCTTCTTTACCTCCTTCACACTCAACTGATCATGTTGTCTTACACTCAACAAATACTGATCCCTCTCCTGTTTTATCTCCTGCACAACATCTCTCCTGTGAGCCACCATCTTCTGATGTTCAACATATAACCTCTCTTGCAGATCATCCACCAGCTAGAAAATCACACAGAATTCGACGGACTCCAGCCCATTTGCAAGATTATTACTGTGGTACAGTTTCTTCCCCTCAATTGTCGTCCCAGGAATCGCCCTCTTCTGGTTGCTCCACACTAGCAGGTAATATCCATCTCTCTCTTGATTGCTCTTCATCTGCAGGCACTCCATATCCTATTCAACCATTCATCTCCACCACCCAACTCTCTACCTCACATAAAGCCTTCTTGGCCTCCATCTCCTCACCTCTTGAGCCCAAAACTTTCAAGCAAGCTTCTAAATTTCCTGAATGGCAAGCTACTATGCATAATGAGATCACTGCTCTGGAGTTAAACAACACATGGGAACTAGTAACTCTCCCTCCGAAAAAAAAAACAATTGGCTGCAAGTGGGTCTTTCGCATCAAATATAGGGCTCATGGATCTATTGAGAGACACAAAGCCCGGCTGGTGGCGAAGGGATTCACCCAGCAAGAAGGGCTAGATTTTTTCGACACTTTCTCTCCTGTGGCCAAAATCACTTCCATTCGTTTGGTTCTTGCTGTGGCTGCTATAAAAAATTGGCACTTACATCAACTCGATGTAAATAACGCCTTCCTCCATGGTGACTTATATGAGGAGGTCTACATGGATTTACCTCCTGGCATGGCTCCTTCAGCAGGTCACAATGCTTGCAAGCTTTTAAAAAGTCTTTATGGCTTAAAGCAAGCCTCCAGGTAGTGGTTTGCAAAACTGTCCAGTGCCCTCCTCAGCTTTGGCTTCACACAGGGTCATTCTGATTCCTCTCTTTTCATCAGGTCCTCTGCTCACTCTTTTATTGCGTTATTGGTATATGTGGATGATATTCTTTTAGCAAGCAACAATATCCTGGACATTCAACAATTAAAAGATTTTTTACACGACAAATTCACCATCAAAGATCTTGGTAAACTCAAATTTTTCCTTGGAATGGAGGTGGTAAGATCCAAGACTGGTATTTTCCTTTGTCAAAGGAAGTATGCTCTTGACATTCTGGAGGAAACGGGCCTCACTGGCTCCAAACCTATTGCATTCCCCATGGAATCCACTTTGAAGCTCTCCTCTACTGACACTCCCTTGCATGATGATCCATCTGGCTATCGCCGGCTTGTGAGCAAGTTGCTCTACTTAACCATCACCAGGCCTGACTTGGCCTATTCTATCCAGGTGCTCAGTCAATTCCTTGCCTCTCCTGCTGTGAGTCACTTTCGGCAGCTACCAGGGTTCTACGATATTTAAAGGCCACCCTAGGGCAAGGTCTCTTCTTTCCAGTTTCTTCTGAACTCCATTTAAAGGCCTTCTCCGATAGTGATTGGGCAGGTTGTATTGATACTCGACAGAGTGTCACTAGTTTTGAGATATTCCTTGGAACCTCCTTAATCTCGTGGAAATCAAAAAAACAGGTTACTATCAGTCGCTCTTCAGCTGAGGCAGAGTACAGAGCTCTTGCGACCACTACTTGTGAAATCCAATGGCTGCTGTATGCTCTAGATGATCTGACCATTAGCCACCCTCAGCCTGCATCTCTCTATACTGATAGCAAATCAGCTTTGTCTATTGCGACCAATCTAGTGCAACACGAAAGAACTAAACATATCCAAATTGATTGCCATCTCGTTCGAGAGAAATTGCAGCAAAACATCATCAAAATATTCCACATCCCATCAAAACTTCAACTTGCTGACATCTTTACAAAGCCCCTTGGTTCCTTACTCTTTCATCATAACCTTCGCAAGATGAACATTATTAACATCCATGTCCATCTTAAGGGGGGGTGTTGGAGTATTGAATCCAAAATTGATAGCATGGAAATCAAACGAAAAGAAGAAAATGACAAAGCAAAGGAAAAGAGGGAAAATTAGTTTCAGCTACCTGCATTCTGTTACGGGTCAATTGCTTTTCCAATTAGTTCACATTTTCTGTTATCTTGTTATTTGAGTTGTTATTTCTAGCCGGTAATTCCTTGTATAAATTAGGCTGCTATCTGATGTAATTATTTGATTCGATCAAGTTTATCAATAAAAGTCAATTCATCTTTTCTTTCAACTTCTTCTTTCTTCTTGCTGGACTTTATCATGGTATCAGAGATTGAGATTTCAGCAATTTTCTTTCTGGTAAACTGATCGTTTCCTTCAGATATTCTTTCTGAAGCTGGTTGTTCCTCTCTACACTCTATACTCTGAAGATGAGTTCTCATAACCCCTCAGATGATTCCTCAAGTCCTTATTACCTTCATCCCAGTGATAATCCTGGTGCTATGCTGGTATCTAAAATGTTCAGTGGAAGTAATTATGTTGCCTGGAGTATATCCATCACTATAGCCTTGACAGTAAAAAATAAGGTTCAGTTCATCGATGGATCCATCTCACCTCCTCCTACTGATCAGTCAATTAATTACACAGCTTGGTTGAGAGCAAATAATCTGGTTCTTTCTTGGCTGATGAATTCTATTACCAAGGATATCCGCAACAGCCTTCTATTTGTTGCATCAGCTACTGATTTATGGAATGAGCTCAAGACCAGATATCTGAGAAGTGATGGTCCACGGGTGTTTCATCTTGAAAAATCCCTAAGCTGCATAAGCCAAGGTTCCATGTCTGTGACTGAGTATTTCAGCTCCTTTAAAACTCTATGGGATGAGTACATTAGTTACAGACCTTTCCCAACCTGCACATGTGGAATAATGACAACTTGCACTTGTGATTTATTCACATTCTTGCAGAATTGCCAGCAATCTGATTATGTATTGAAGTTTTTGGTTGGTTTGAATGACTCTTTTTCTTCTGTCAGAAGCCAACTCCTTCTCATGGTTCCCTTGCCTAGCATGGCTAAGGTGTTCTCCTTGTTACTTCATGAAGAGAGTCAGAGGATGCTCACTAACTCTACTTCACATATTGAGACACACGCTTTAATGGCACAACGCAACAATCATCCAAATTATCAACCAAAATCATTCAGAGACAGAGACAGATCCAAGGTTCCCTCCCCACTTTGCACTCATTGTGGTTATACTGGACACAAGGTTGATTCTTGCTATCAACTCCATGGATACCCTCCTAACTGGACAGGACTAAGAGGAAAACGAAACGCCTCTGGCAGATCCTCAGCACATGCAGCTATTACACAGGATATTACCTATCAGACTAACAAAGAGCAGCCAAAATTATCCTTCACTCCAGAGGAATTTCATAAACTCATAACGCTTGCCAATTCAGCACCAACTGATCCTTCTACCACTCAACCAACTGTTAATTTTGCATCTACTTCTCAGTTTTCTGGTAAATCACGACCTGCTATATGTTGTAGCTCTATTTCACCTGCTTTAAAATCAAACTATTCCTGGATTCTCGATACAGGTGCTACGGATCATATGATTTGCTCCCCTTCTTTGTATTATTCTACCCCTCAAGCTGTTAATACTTTTGTTTATCTCCCTAATGGTGTTAGGATTCCAGCTTCTCATAGTGGCACTATTTACCTCTTTAACTCTCTTTTCCTGCATAATGTTCTTTGTATCCCTTCTTTTTCTTTTACTCTGATTTCTGTGTCTAAGCTCACCACTCAGTCTAAAGTCTATCTTACTTTTACAAATTGCTATTGCACCTTGCAGGACCAACTAACGAGGAAGATGATTGGGACTGCTATTGAGATGGAAGGACTGTACCATCTACTCCAAGTTTCTCCGCAAATTCAGACCAGAAATCAATCCAACTCTGCACCTCTTGCTTCAGCCATAACTCACCAGAACCTTGATATATGGCACTACAGACTAGGACATGTTTCTAGCTCCAAATTGATTCCTCTCAAGCAAATTGAGCCTTCTATTGCTTTTGATTGTACTCATGTCTGTGACATTTGTCCCTTAGCAAAACAAAAGAGGCTTCCATTTTCTGTATCACTTCAAAGATCAAATAAAAAATTCGATTTAATTCACTGTGATATTAGGGCCCCTTTAGCACTGTCTCTTATTCCAATTTCAAGTTTTTCTTAACTATAGTCGATGACTTTACACGGTGCACATGGGTCTATATGTTGCCAAATAAATCTGATGTTCCTTCTATACTCAAAACATTCTGCCGAATGGTGGAAACTCAGTTCTCCACTTCTGTCAAAATCTTACGGTCCGACAATGGCCCTGAATTTTTTCTCACTAAATTCTATCATAAACACGGCATTCTACACCAAAAGAGCTGTGTGGAGACTCCACAGCAAAATGGTATCGTGGAGAGAAAGCACCAGCACCTTTTGTGCACCGCTAGAGCTCTATTATTTCAAGCCAACCTACCTCTCCAATTCTGGAGTGATTGTGTCCTAACCGCAGCTCATATCATCAATCGACTTCCCACACCTCTTCTCCAAAATAAATCTCCCTTCGAAATGTTATTTGATAAACCTCCAAATCTTTCCCACCTGAGAGTTTTTGGTTGTCTCTGTTTTGTTTCCACCCTTACACGCCATAGGCAAAAATTTGACTCAAGAGCCACCAAGTGCTTGTTCCTAGGCTACCCTTCTGATTTTAAAGGTTACAAGGTCATGGACATTACTACTAACAGAATATTTGTCTCCAGAAATATTACATTTCATGAGTTAATCTTCCCTTTCAAAAATATTCCCCCACCTTCTGACCAACCCTCCTCCTTATTCCCTATACAAGATCCTTTTCCAGATTTCTCTTCTTTACCTCCTTCACACTCAACTGATCATGTTGTCTTACACTCAACAAATACTGATCCCTCTCCTGTTTTATCTCCTGCACAACATCTCTCCTGTGAGCCACCATCTTCTGATGTTCAACATATAACCTCTCTTGCAGATCATCCACCAGCTAGAAAATCACACAGAATTCGACGGACTCCAGCCCATTTGCAAGATTATTACTGTGGTACAGTTTCTTCCCCTCAATTGTCGTCCCAGGAATCGCCCTCTTCTGGTTGCTCCACACTAGCAGGTAATATCCATCTCTCTCTTGATTGCTCTTCATCTGCAGGCACTCCATATCCTATTCAACCATTCATCTCCACCACCCAACTCTCTACCTCACATAAAGCCTTCTTGGCCTCCATCTCCTCACCTCTTGAGCCCAAAACTTTCAAGCAAGCTTCTAAATTTCCTGAATGGCAAGCTACTATGCATAATGAGATCACTGCTCTGGAGTTAAACAACACATGGGAACTAGTAACTCTCCCTCCGAAAAAAAAAACAATTGGCTGCAAGTGGGTCTTTCGCATCAAATATAGGGCTCATGGATCTATTGAGAGACACAAAGCCCGGCTGGTGGCGAAGGGATTCACCCAGCAAGAAGGGCTAGATTTTTTCGACACTTTCTCTCCTGTGGCCAAAATCACTTCCATTCGTTTGGTTCTTGCTGTGGCTGCTATAAAAAATTGGCACTTACATCAACTCGATGTAAATAACGCCTTCCTCCATGGTGACTTATATGAGGAGGTCTACATGGATTTACCTCCTGGCATGGCTCCTTCAGCAGGTCACAATGCTTGCAAGCTTTTAAAAAGTCTTTATGGCTTAAAGCAAGCCTCCAGGTAGTGGTTTGCAAAACTGTCCAGTGCCCTCCTCAGCTTTGGCTTCACACAGGGTCATTCTGATTCCTCTCTTTTCATCAGGTCCTCTGCTCACTCTTTTATTGCGTTATTGGTATATGTGGATGATATTCTTTTAGCAAGCAACAATATCCTGGACATTCAACAATTAAAAGATTTTTTACACGACAAATTCACCATCAAAGATCTTGGTAAACTCAAATTTTTCCTTGGAATGGAGGTGGTAAGATCCAAGACTGGTATTTTCCTTTGTCAAAGGAAGTATGCTCTTGACATTCTGGAGGAAACGGGCCTCACTGGCTCCAAACCTATTGCATTCCCCATGGAATCCACTTTGAAGCTCTCCTCTACTGACACTCCCTTGCATGATGATCCATCTGGCTATCGCCGGCTTGTGAGCAAGTTGCTCTACTTAACCATCACCAGGCCTGACTTGGCCTATTCTATCCAGGTGCTCAGTCAATTCCTTGCCTCTCCTGCTGTGAGTCACTTTCGGCAGCTACCAGGGTTCTACGATATTTAAAGGCCACCCTAGGGCAAGGTCTCTTCTTTCCAGTTTCTTCTGAACTCCATTTAAAGGCCTTCTCCGATAGTGATTGGGCAGGTTGTATTGATACTCGACAGAGTGTCACTAGTTTTGAGATATTCCTTGGAACCTCCTTAATCTCGTGGAAATCAAAAAAACAGGTTACTATCAGTCGCTCTTCAGCTGAGGCAGAGTACAGAGCTCTTGCGACCACTACTTGTGAAATCCAATGGCTGCTGTATGCTCTAGATGATCTGACCATTAGCCACCCTCAGCCTGCATCTCTCTATACTGATAGCAAATCAGCTTTGTCTATTGCGACCAATCTAGTGCAACACGAAAGAACTAAACATATCCAAATTGATTGCCATCTCGTTCGAGAGAAATTGCAGCAAAACATCATCAAAATATTCCACATCCCATCAAAACTTCAACTTGCTGACATCTTTACAAAGCCCCTTGGTTCCTTACTCTTTCATCATAACCTTCGCAAGATGAACATTATTAACATCCATGTCCATCTTAAGGGGGGGTGTTGGAGTATTGAATCCAAAATTGATAGCATGGAAATCAAACGAAAAGAAGAAAATGACAAAGCAAAGGAAAAGAGGGAAAATTAGTTTCAGCTACCTGCATTCTGTTACGGGTCAATTGCTTTTCCAATTAGTTCACATTTTCTGTTATCTTATTATTTGAGTTGTTATTTCTAGCCGGTAATTCCTTGTATAAATTAGGCTGCTATCTGATGTAATTATTTGATTCGATCAAGTTTATCAATAAAAGTCAATTCATCTTTTCTCTCAGCTTCTTCTTTCTTCTTGCTGGACTTTATCACTCCTATTATTCATTTCTTTTGGTCTTTGTTCGCCTATTTCTTAAGACTTATTTATATTATCGACAATGTGAACTGGAAGAGCCCAAAGAGGAGAGTGATGAACACATGGGATTCAGGCTGGAGCGTCTTTCTGCACGATGATGTCGCAATGTTGTTTAGAACTGATAGTTACGCATCTATGTGTACATGTACATGTACTTTTGGCTTAAATTATAGTGTTTTGTTACTTTTTATGTGATTGCATTTTAATTTCCTTGTCTTTTTGTGACTGTATTTGACATGAGAATTATGACGGTGTATTATTATTGAAGATAATATCAAATCAATATTATCTTGATTTGATATTATTTTAATTTGATTTTCATACTTACCTTAATCAATTTGATTTGATTTGATTCTCTTAATATTTAAGATATTTACCTCTTCTATCTCAATGTAATTTCCCTATAAATAGGGACATATGCTTTGTATTCAATATCAATCAATTCAATAAAGATGTAGACATTCAATGGTCTCTTGCTCTCTTCTCCATCTTCTTCTTCTACATTATATTTCGTTTTCTATAATGGTATCAGAGCGGTTAAGATCAAAACTTCCGCCAACACCCGTCCAACAAATTCCTACCAGCAATAATTCAGAAGCAGATTTTTTTTCCCAACAGTTTTTTTAGAAGCAGATTTTTTTTCCAGCAGCCTCGTTTCTGATTTCAGCAATTCTTCTGCCAACTTCTGCAAAATTCATCCTTCTGCCAACCTGGTCCTGATCTCAGCAAGCCTAATTATTCTTCCAACTCCTCCCCTTTCTTAGCCAGAGCAGCCTGCCCAAACTTTAAATTGGGTTTCATCACCTTCTCAATCCTCAGCTCACGGCAAATCAGAGTCCCAACTTCGTGGATAATGTTTTCTCCTCATGACCTCTCTTTGATAGCCGCCATAATTGGGTGGCTGATAGTGGCGCCACCGACCACTTCTACCAAAACTCATTTCTGAAATATCTTTGTTGCCTCCTATGGCTTCTTCTTCCAAACCTTCCTCTCATGGCAAAGCAAATGGCAGAGATTCATAAGGTTTCTTTTGGTGTCCTTGCAAGTTTTGTTCTTGTTTTTGCAATCTTTTTGCCCGCCTTTCAGGGCCATGGCCACAAGGGTTTGGCCTCCGCTCCAGCACCTACAAGTGATGGTACTACAATTGATTCAGGCAGTATGCAACCTTCTCTAAACATAAAGGCTTCTATCAAATTTCAAACTCAAACTTCCGTCGTTCTCCACCTTGAGTTTGAGGGGGAGTATTGAAGATAATATCAAATCAATATTATCTTGATTTGATATTATCTTAATTTGATTTTCATATTTACCTTAATCAATTTGATTTGATTTGATTCTCGTAATATTTAAGATATTTACCTTTTCTATCTCAATATAATTTCCCTATAAATAGGGACATATGCTTTGTATTCAATATCAATCAATTCAATAAAGATGTAGACATTCAATGGTCTCTTGCTCTCTTCTCCATCTTCTTCTTCTACATTATATTTCGTTTTCTATCAGTTATTGCTTGATTTAGCTGTGAACTGTGACTAACAAGGATTCATATGGCGAAGGAGAAACAATAAATTTCTTATTTATTGGCTTTCTTTTTCGTGTTAGCAATAGAATCTAAAGCACTAATCACAAAAAGTCACATTTAAGATGGAGGCTGCCTTGATTTTGCCAAAGCCAACGAGGGAGCTAAGAAAAAGTAATATTAACGCTAAGAACACTACAGGAATACTTATCTATCAAATGAACTTGAACAAATGTAAAACAAGTCATTCAAGGCCCATCTTTTGGCATGGTTATCTTTTGACATTCAATATTGGAAAAATTATAAAACAAAGTATGACGGAATTGTTATTTGTGACGGTGTCTACTATAATTTTTATTGTTTCTCAAATTGTAGCAACTTGTATACATTTCTAAATCGATTAATTTCTTTTAAAGCAATCAATATGACTTATAGTGTGGTGGGTTAGTGCATGATTGGCCAAAGCTTTGCATAGAGGCTTTGTTGTGCCATTAGAAGTAATTGCAATGTTTAAGATTCATAGTAAATGCTTTGTGATAAAATGTTGTTAACACTAAGCTTGTTTTTCTAATTATGTACCTCCTATATTTTGGTTTCCTTTAATTTACCTAGTTCGACAGAAGATCGATCCGCAAAAGATGTCTACTTATCCACAAATTTATTTCATAAAACGATTTCGCAAGTATCACATTTAAAGTGAGCAACACTAATATCAGTGTTAGGTTCATATAAGCTCAATTTGAAATAGTAACCTAAATCGACAAATGTACAATGTTGTTAATAGTTGGGTGGCCTCCTTTGCCCTTCCTTCTCACAAGATACCCCCCACGCCACCACATCCCCTACCCTACCCCCATCAATCCACAAAGCAACCCAACGCTCTTGACGGTAATTTCCACGCCTCTCTTCCCTTTCATTCTCGGTTTCTCCGCCCCCCCCTTCCCTTTTTATTTCCTCTTTCTTTCCCCCATTCATTCACAATCTTCTCTTATATGACACTTTTCAACTTATTCAAACTTTAATTTTCAATTCAATTTCTGTTACCAAGAAACCACCCTTGATTACTTGTTTTTCGCACCTTGAACAAAAATGGCTTGTTCTGCAACTGCCCAAATCATTCAACCTTTGTCCATTAACTCTGCCAGATCTGTTGATAACTCTGATGCTTGCGCTAAAATCCTCAATCCCTCTTCTTTTCTTGTATCCACACCTCGCATTAACAAGAAGCTCTTTTCCGTTAACAAATCCATTTCACCTTTCGCTCGCCGATCCGCCACCGTCTTTGCCGTCTCCTCCGATGTTGTCAAGGAGAAGAAGCTCAAATCTAACTCCTCACTCTCCAATCTGGTATTCAATTTCCTATTTCTTATGCTTTTAATGTGATATTTATAGCTTGTGTTTATATGTTATAATTGGGAAGTACAGTAATTTCTGATTGTTTTAATCTATTTTCTATGTGTATATATCAATGAATTATTTTGGATTTTGAATTTTTTAGTTATTCATGTCCATTTTGCATCCCCTGGGAAAAAAAACTTGAGGAGTTGAGAAATTCGATTAGATGTATAAAGTAATATGTGTGAGTTTATGCATGCAGTTGATTACAAAAGAAGAGGGTCTGGAATTGTACGAGGATATGTATTTGGGGAGAGCTTTTGAAGACATGTGTGCCCAGATGTATTACAGGGGGAAAATGTTTGGGTTTGTTCATTTGTACAATGGTCAAGAAGCGGTATCCACTGGATTCATCAAACTCTTGAAGAAGGAAGATTGTGTGGTTAGCACTTACCGGGACCATGTCCATTCACTGAGCAAAGGGGTTCCAGCACGTGAGGTTATGGGCGAGCTATTTGGCAAGACAACTGGTTGCTGTAGAGGCCAGGGTGGGTCAATGCACATGTTCTCCAAAGAACACAATGTTCTCGGTGGCTTTGCTTTCATTGGTGAAGGCATTCCCGTGGCTACGGGTGCTGCCTTCACTAGCAAGTACAAGAGGGAGGTTTTGAAGGAGGATTGTGATGAGGTGACGTTGGCTTTCTTTGGAGATGGGACTTGTAACAATGGCCAGTTCTTCGAGTGCTTGAACATGGCTGCATTGTGGAAGTTGCCTATCGTTTTTGTTGTCGAGAACAATTTGTGGGCTATTGGAATGTCCCATTTAAGGGCCACTTCTGATCCACAAATTTGGAAGAAAGGGCCGGCATTTGGGATGCCTGGGGTTCATGTTGATGGTATGGATGTGTTGAAGGTGAGGGAGGTTGCAAAGGAGGCTATTGGCAGGGCTAGAAGAGGCGAAGGTCCGACTTTGGTTGAATGTGAGACCTATAGGTTTAGAGGGCACTCGTTGGCTGATCCCGATGAGCTCCGTGACCCCGGTGAGCCATTCAATTTCACTTTTACTTTCTCATTCTTATGTATATTCATATATATATTTGGACTATTCTCCATTTTTATTTATTTTTTTTGAATGAAATGCCACTCTATAATCACTTGTTCTAAAGAAGTGCCACTCAATCACCATTCAGTGGTTTTGAAGAACGTTAATGTATAAGTTTAGTTGGATACAATTCCATGTAGAGTTCCCAGGCTTGACATGTGTGAAGAATGTTTGCTGAACTAAGATTGTACCGCTATTATGATCTTAGTTAACAAATGCAGATAATGAGTGAGTGAAATGCTTTGAAACATGTTAATTGATAGCTCGGGACATTGTACTTGTTAACCACTTTTTCACCTTCATGCTACATGGCTTTCTGACGTCACTTCACCTCTCCGTGGACCAAGTATTCTAGGGTCCTAGACAGTGCAATCCAACCCACAGGGATCAGGATGATTGTATTGGTTGTCTTGAGTAATGAATATCATGAGATGTGGCAAATCGAAATAATTTACTTCAAAATCTATAATATATTTACAAGCTTCTTTTAATAGCCAAATGGTGCCTTTGGAGGTCATAAACTTGGACTTGTATCATCAAATTTTAGCTTCCTTTTTCTCTCTGTACGACTCCTGAAGTTTACAAGTCTACCATATAATATTTATTTGTTTACTTGGCAGCTGAAAAGGCTCACTACGCCACCCGTGATCCCATCACTGCATTGAAGAAATACATGGCTGAAAACAAGTTGGCAGCTGAAGCAGAACTGAAAGTCATCGAGAAGAAGATTGATGAATTAGTCGAAGATGCTGTTGAGTTTGCAGATAAAAGCCCCGTCCCAGCACGTAGCCAACTTCTAGAAAACGTATTTGCAGATCCTAGAGGTTTTGGAATTGGACCTGATGGGAAGTACAGATGTGAAGATCCAAAATTCACCCAAGGCACTGCTCATGTCTAACCATGATGTTGGCTTTTCAGTTATCAAGGAACACATTGTTGCATGTAGTAATTATTACTGATAGAGTACTCTTTTAACGTGTATTAGCATTTCTCGTACTAGATACGAGGTCATGTTATCAAGGGATTTTTTCTGTTTCAATTTTGTATCGCTTTGTTATGTTTGTGTTGGTTGGATACTGTTTTTGAAATGACAAACACTGTTCATTGTCATAATACTAGCTTCATGGACTTGGTATATTCCATTTTCCACCCCATTGTGAGATGATGGATTTTTTCCATCATCAAAGATGAATTTATTCCATCAAAGATGTGAATTACTTGATTAAGTTTTAAGTACTGACTACTGTCCCTTCCTTTACAGCAATTCAGAGGCCAATACAAATAGGGTTTTTCCATTTGTACCGAAAATGGATGACAATAAATTTGACAACCTCTCACATGCGGTGGGCCATGCGTGATTAAAAAATTTCAAAAAAAAGGTGGTGCCCCCCAAGTGCGAGTGTTGGTCAACCTATATGTTAACCATTTTCGGTACGAATAGCATAGCTTAAAAAAAAAAAAAAAATTTGACAGAGATTAAAAAAATAGTTTGACAGAAATTGTTTTTTCATTTTTATCTGTCAACCTATCTATAAAACTGCTTGTACATGTAGTAGCACATCTCTTATGAATTTGTAAAATTCATCTCCCAGATTCAGAGATAACCCCCTGTGCCCTGTTTGAGCCTGCCTTTTGAACCTTCATCAAAAATAGGAAAAGATCCTCAAACAAGCATAAACCAGAATAGCCAGCCGGTAACATTTATTCATAATCATTTCTGCATATTTCTGTTTCAAAGCTACAGCTCGAACTACTTATCCATTCTTTTCACAGATTCTATCATCAACTTGATGAAAAGAGGATTTTAAAGATCCTATTCAAGGAAAACATTTAACTTTACTCCGATAGAAGCAAAACCCATAAAAAGAAACCAACACTCACAAGATTTCTACTTATTATTTTGACGTTTGCCAACTATTGGAGATAAATGCAGTAATTTCGGCACGTAGCAAAAACAGCAAGCAGAACAAGGTTGCTCTATGAACCAAGAACTCGTCACATTACTGTGTCATAAAAAATAAATTGACTGAAAAAGACGAAAAATCGTTGATCATCTCAGCAGAAACAGTTCAGAATACAAAATCAGCTTCTCTAGCATTTCATCTAGTTGATGTAAGCCAGGATAAACATCAAACTGTCAACATATTGATCAGACTTCAAAATCAGCTTCTCTAAAAACTTTCAATAAGTGGAGAAATGATCAGATTTTAAGTTCAGAATTGACTAACGGTCCAAATACTGATAAAAGTCTGAAAATGGGGAAACTGGAGCTGAAAATGACTCTCTCTAAACATATGGCTATATGCATAGACAAAACAACATGGTAGAAATTCATCAGCAAAATAGATGCATCAACCTAAGCAGTCACTTGATTACACAAGTGTTTAGTGACTGACTGGGGAGAGACAGAGAAAGAGACAGCAAGAAAGCTAACCTATCATTTGGAGTTGTGGACAGGATTGCAAAATATGAGTTCACAATTGAATCGTAAAATATCAAATCAAGTAGCCAATAGCTAATCTAGAAACTGCACGCTTAGCATAAATATAGAACAAATATTGCCCATCAGTAAAGAAAAATTAACAGAGGATGACCACAATTCTAGAGAAGCTAGCATTTTCTAAAAACAAATCTAATTTCTGAAGGGTAAAGCACAGTAACACATTTATCAGTTTTCACTTGCATGAACTAAAATATTTAAAGGATTCGACCTTAATGAGAAGATCATCAATAAAAGTTTATTATTATATTTCAAAATGAATAGAAACAAGCAAAGTCATGATTGATACATTTCTGGCATCTTGATCTTTACTCTCGTATAAAATTGGGCAAACGAGAGAAAATGACATGACATGGTAGAAATTCACAAATGATAAACCGATCAGGGTCTACAATTTAAGAGAAGTTATTGCTTCAGGTCTAAAATCAACTCTCAGACCCAATACTCTTCTAACCTCAGCTGGAGTTAGTCTCCAAGTCATGGGCCCCGAGTTCTCTCCCCAGAAATCTAAAATTTCAGACACCTTTTCTAAGTTTAGGATAGTAGCCATCTGGGTGAGACGAGAAAATTTGTCTCTAACTGTCCTCTGTGTCATACTAGAGAAATGGCTGACTAGTGTCCTGGCATCTCTGTCAAGCTGAAGACCCCCGAGTTGATTGAATCGTTTTTGCATCATGATGACCTCTAGCCTTTTCACGATGAAGTCAATGACGAGGTGCACAAATGAGTCATAATTGTTGGCTGTCATCAGGGGCTGAAGCCACGCCACATTGGTCTCCACAGCATGGAGAAGCCTTTGAACCCAGGAATCATTCAACTCATTTTCTGCATAATCTGCTTCAGATAGTTCATAGCTGATGGTCGCCACGTTATCTAATACAGGTCGAATTCGGGGTGTCACGGTGGCTACAAGTTGCTCCATTCCAACACTTAGTGCCTTCTTGAAATTGTTGCTCATTTCATTCAATTCAGATATGCAGGATTTAACTCTCTCCCTGTCTACTGGTGCAGGGAATACCTAATATATGAAAATGGCCTCAGTCTGAGCGATGCACAAAATTTGAGTATATGCCAAAATAAAGAAAAAGATAATGGAAAACATAATATAAGGTGGTGCTCATTTACCTCACTAAGATGTTGAATAGATCCTTCAGATTTTCTCCAAAAAACATTAATGTACTTACCATCAACGACATCTTTGACATTTGGTATAAATTAATACGTAATAAATTACAGAAAAGACAGCATATTTTTATTTTCCAGTAAAATATTGCATGTTTTACAGTTAACTGAAATGATATTTCAATGTCATCAGAAACCTTGGACATGTAACATGGAGTTGATCAAATCACTTAGAAGCTAGATCAACCTTATTCTTTGACATCTAGACAAAATCACAGAAATTTATATTAAGTTACAGTACAATGCTGTGTCTTTATTTCTCCAGTAAAAGAACCACGTTTAAAATTTCAATTGAAAAGATATTTCAATTTCCACAGAAACCAAAATCATGTATAAGAAAATTATTCAAACTATGAGGATATGAGCATGTGAGATACTGGGGCACAAATATAATCATTGAAGAAAATCTAGCCAGTTGTCCTAAATTTAGCCCCTATTTGGGCTCCATAAAAATTAGTTTTTAGGGAAAATTGTATTTTGGAATAGTGATTTTTTGAAAAATGTGTAGTTTAAAAATAAGGAAAAAAGAATGTATCGTTGAAAAAAAGAAAAGAAAAATACATTAATAGTAAAATAGAGCCCAAACATGGGCTTAATATATCAAAAAAGTCTTGAGAGTACAAAATCTTGTCTCAAATACAGAAATGAGCGCGGTTCTAAACTATGATGCTTAGACTCGGGTACGAATATCGGGTATAGGTACGTATCTAAGTATTGGATATTTTATTTTCTAAAATGTATGATACTGGAACATGGCTAAAAGTCCAAATTTTGGACATGGGTACGTCTTTGAAACTTCAATTTTTTTTTCCCAAAAAGATTACATGTAAAAAGTTAAATAACAATTAAGTTTCAAATTGTTAAAAGATAAACATGTCACTTAAAACCAACTAAAAATTTATACTAAAAGTCGAAAAGACAACAAAAGCATAAATTGACGTGACAAAGCACAAAATTAAATTGTTCTAAAACATTTATTTATGTTCATTTTATAATTACCCGTCAATCATTTTGACCCAAAAAAAAATCACATTTTAATTTTTTTAAAAATTATTTACCATGGTATTTTTTAACTAAAATAGTCTTATCTCTAGATCAAAAGAACCAAAAAGCATATTTAAGAAATAATCAACCTCATGTAATTTGCTCAACCAATAAGGAAGAAATATTCGGAAAAAGAGGTAAATAAATCCAGCGATAAGGCTCAACCAATAAAGCTGTAAATAAACTTCAACCACAGTGGATAAAAAAAAAAAAAAAAGAAGGCCCAAGTCCAAAACTTTTTTTCCTTTCCTAACCTTGCAAGCATCATGACTTTCTGGACTGCAACAGTGGTGGCAACGAAGCTACCACAGGTTTCGTCCCTGGCCATGTCTGGTTGAAAATTGCCATGTCTGTCCCATATTTCATACCAACACCCCGTGTCATGTCGTGTCGACACGAGTATGTGGCCAAAAAGAAGAGTCCGAGCATCTCAGGTTCTAAATGGTTTTAAAAAACTATTTTAGGCTTATATCTTGAATCCAACCTCATGTGATGCTACCATAAAATGCTTCAAACCCCACACCTTTAAGGCCATTTTAGAGGCTTATTCCTTGACTTGGTGAGGCTTACGCCTCAAGCCTGAATCTCAAGCCAGCTAAGGTGTTTTCAAACATTTAATTGTTGACCTTAGCCTTCTGATTTGTTTCTTTATAACCTAAAATGTTAAGGGGTCTACCGTTTTCTTTTTTCTACATGTACGGAAGGAATATGGGAAGCAAAATATACCATTGCAATTGGAGGATAATGACTAAAAGAAACTTGAGGATGATAATGCTAATGATTCCCTTAAAGATCACATGATATAAGAAATTTTTGGGTAGCCACAATTTTGATACATAATTACTAATTTGAGAACTTATTATCTTCTATTTTCTTGATCTAGTTTATGTTTGTTTGCAAGTTAGACTTAGAATTTTATTAATTACTTTGTAACGGATTTTTGTTCAAGGTATATTATGAGCATATTTTTGTATTTTTATATTTTTTTGCATTCTTTTATTGTTCTATCTAGAGCTTATACCTGAAAGCACCTCCAGACTCATGGAAATAAAATGCCTTGGTACCCGATTAAGCCAATTTAAACATTGGCTCTCCCATACAGCTGGAATGTAGTTTGACACATCAAGTTGGTGATCAAAATTCAACCTTCCAAATGGTAATGGTTGTCATGACTAAAGCGACGGGCAGAAAATGTAGGGTCTCTCATTTAGGACTTAAGCTTTGGTAGCTTTCAAAATGCAGCAGATAACAGTGCTTAAAATAAAAATTAAGTAAACCTACAGCGATTACTAAATTGCTATTTAATTTTTCTAATCACTTCTCAAATTCATAAAATTCTAACCCATGAATGAATTTGAAATAGCAAAGCCAACCAGGTATTTAAAATTAAAGAAACAAAATATAATGTGCCATGTAAAGTCCTCACTTACTTCTGCACATTGTTCTTCGATCTCATGGCAAAGTTTCAGGACATACTCACTACTGACATCCATGTTGTTCAAAGACGTGGCAATCTCAGTTCCAGTCTTCTGCACCCCAACACCTCCCAAAAATAGCTTTGCTCCAAGATTTGACTCCCTCGTCTGTTGTTGCAGTGCCTCACCATATTCACCCCCCAATAAACTTGAGGCGCTGCTCAACACAGCAATCACCGAGTTGATATTTGAAGTAGAAATTGCCCTTCTACAGCAACTCTGCAGCACATAAAACACGTCATCTACCATGGATGTTGTGAGACTATCAGGTACATGCTCATCGATTTTGATGGCTTTCCTCACATTTTCCACCATAAAATACCCTTCCAAAATGACGTAGTAACCAGTAACATCCTGAGCAACTTTACTGAAATTCCCACTCCTAAAAGCCTTTGTGGCTCGGGGACCTAATTCTGGATCCACAGAGGTCAAGCCCTTTATTTTGGACACCATGTACTCAGTGTAATCCTCACCCAACTGCGTCAAAGACAGTATCTCTTCCAGATATAACTCAACCTCTCTAGGGTCGGGCCCTTCTGCCCCAGCTGAGAGTAAATTGCTCTTATATGAATTAATATCAGAGGTCAATTTCGCTAACTTCCTGTACTCCATGTATTTTTTTAAAATGATAGGTCCCCGTGAATCACATTCCTCATGAAGCTCACAAATGGCATAAACAATGCCATCCTCACCGCACAAATTCCTTAAAATCTCATTATTTTCTTCTACAGCCAAGACAATGTCTTTGAACAAATTCGTCAAACACGCCACAAAGTTCGCCTGATTATTACTAATATTATTGGGTTGATCCATCAATTCCACCAATTGCTCGAATTCAATCCGGGATCTCATGGAAATGACCCTTTTCAAGTAATTAACATAAACCTGCAAGCCTTCCTCTTCAAGACCAAGGGGAGTGTAAAGCTTGATGAAACGGAGAATGGTGGGATGATCCCGCTGGTCTACAGCAGCCGAGAGCCTCTTCTTGGCTATGCCTTCCAATTGCTTCTTGTAGGAGAGGAGCTGCTCCCGCTGATCCGAGGCCGAGGAGTCTTTAAACTTGGAGTCAATTTGGAGAAACGTCTGGATGTAGGATGCAGCAGACTCGAAATCCTCCGATTGAAGTGACTTCTGAACACCGTCGAGACAACTCGAGCGATCGACGATTGCATCGATGCGTAGAAGAGTTTCCTTGACGCGAGATTGGGCAAGATCTAGGTGTCGCACTTTGGCGGAGACCTGATCGGCGAGGGAGGAAGTGGAGCCTACATTAGAGAGCATATAGGCTGAATCAGCCTTGACAATATCAAGAACCTCGGCAGATTTGTGAAGGCCAGAGAGCTGGCGGTCCAAATCGGAGCGCTGAGAGAGAATGGTCTCCAGCTCGAGATCTAGGGCTCGCTGGTAGGCTATACATTCATGTAAGAGACGAGTCATGGCTCCCACATCTGTCAGCTTCCGAACGTAATCGAGTGCCTCCGCCGTACCGAATTGGACCGATGAATTCACGGCGGCTGAACTGGCGGAGGCGTCATCGTCCGGTTCTAGCCTTGGTGTCGCTGCCATCGGTGTGAGAGACAGATTTGCCGTTAGTTGTAGAGGAATTGAGAACTCAGCCAATTAAGCCCCTGTTTGGTACACATTAAAATTTTCATTCTCATTCTTTTACTCATTTTCAACCACATTTTCAATAAAATAATATTTTTCATCACATCAATAAATTTTCCTTCTTTTTCAACCACAAATTCTCCATTAATCTACTATTACAGAATACATTTTTCCAAAATAATGTGGCTCAAACACACCCTAAGCAGTGAATATTAGGCTATTAAACCCCATTTGACAACGATGTTTTGTAAAGAATGAGTTGTTGAATGGTAAATTTTTGTAGAATTAGTGATTAAAAAGTAAAAAAATTGAATTTATGTAAATAATATTTTATTATAAGAATGTGTAGTTAAAAATTAGTACGAAAGAGAAGAGTTTTGAATGAATGGCTACTAAAGAGTGAGTAAAACGAAAAGCACAACTACAAAAGCATAATTAAAATAGAGAAAATGAGAAATTACTGGAGTAAGCAGTGAAGATTATGCGATTAAACCCCCCGTTTGACATAAATGTTTTGTAAAGAATGAATTTTTGAATTGTAAATTTTTGTAGAATGAGTGATTAAAAAGTAAAAAAAATTGAATTTATGTAAATAATATTTTATTATAAAAACATGTAGTTAAAAGTAAGTGTGGAAAAAAAAATAGTTTCAAATGAATGATTACTCTAGGGTGAGTAAATTCGAAACACCTCCAAGTAAATAGGAAATTGGCTATAGGGTTAAAAAGGTCTTTTCACATCTACGTCCATGTACGGCGCAATATATTTTTTATTTTAAAAGAGCAGATGGACCCATAAAAAAACAAAAATGGGAGTGGGACCCATGGTGGTATGGTGGTTGTGCTGCTAGGTCTCTCTCACGCATTCACACATACAAAATACAGCCTCTAAGAGAAANCAAAATTTAAAAAAAAATTCGGGTGCAAAATTATACCAATCAAACACACTTAATTAACAATTACATACAAAACAATTTCTAGACAATTACTTTCCCTGGAATTCATTTTCTTTCTACCCATTTTCCACCCTTGCAATCAAACAGACCCTTAGAAAAAATAAGTTCTAAAGAGCGATATTTTCAAAGAATGCGTGCTCAGAGAGTAGGAAAAAAATTGTATATATAGAATATCTCATCATGTGAATGCGTTATTAAAAATGATTTTATTGTAAATCATAAAATAAATTAATGGTTGTCAAACATGTATTAAATAAGTAACAATTTTAACACTATGAAAATTACTTCTACTAATTATGGTGACAAAACATGTTTTTCAGCTTTTTTGGGGAGTGTTTGTAAAATGTACGTTTAAACCCCTGTTTTGGACCCAATAAAATCTAGATTTTAATATAAGTCAAAATCAATAATTCATTTCAACTACATATTTTATAAAAAATGATTTGATGATTTATAATAATAAGAAAAAGCTAAGTGTACAGGGTCTTCTTTTCGAGTTCTTCACGAGCGTTACGTTGACGATACTTAATTCGCAAACTATTTTTTTTTTCAACTGGCAATCAAATTGCATCAAGTGGAATTATGTGAAACTTATGTGGAAAATACATGTACATGTAGCATTGCTCTATTAGTAAACATAAACTAAGCATTCCTTTGCTCGGCGTGGAAAATAAATCTATTTAGTCAAGTGGTGAGTTCAGGAGTATTACATGATCCTAAATGTAGAAAGAATTGTGTCGATGGGTTTCGTTGTTAGAAATTTATTATTAATGAATAATGCTAAGTGTATATTTTATGGGTTAAATCTTGGTATACATTATGTGTACGTTTCTAAGTGTCAGATCTTTTATATTCTAAAATGTAGAATATGAGGACATGATTAAAAATAATCCAAATTTCAGACACGAGTACGTATGTACGTCTTTCAAAGTTCAATTTTTTTATTAATTCAGGATGTCATTTTGAATAGACCAAAACTAATTATTCACAATGAATTAAATGGGTATTTAATAAGGGGTTAAGACGAATAAAATAGAATTTTGGAGTTTAATTTTCAATTATAAGAATTACTAAATATTATATAAAATAGAGAATGAAGAACTTGATTGTAATTTTGACTTAGTGGAGCACTAAGCTCTAATGCTCGAACTCTTCAAAATAGTTGGAGTACTCGTGTAAGATACGACACAACACGACATTGGTATGTGTATGGGATATGTGTCGGATCCTCCAATTTTCAACTCGACATTTCGTCGTTTTTGCTTCTTCTTTCTTCTCTCTTTTTTTTTTCTTTTCCTTTTCTTTCCATTTTCTTCTTTCCCACTTTTGCTCTCTATAAACCTAGTGTCGTCACCGAGAGGGTGGAGAAAGGAGGCGACGCTAAGTTTTACCTTCTTTTTCTTCTTCTTTCTTTTTTCTTTCCATTTTTTTCTTTTTTTTTTCCTCATTCCCTCTCTGTATCGGTGATTTAGGGTTTTGTTTGTATAAAATGAAAATGAGTTACATATAGTGCTACTTAGTGTTCCACTAAATCCAAATTATAATCAAGTTCCTCATTTTCTATTTTATATAATATTTAGTAATTCCCATAATTGAAAACTAAACCCCAAAATTCTAATATATTCGTCTTAACCCCTTATTAAATACTAATTTCCTTCATTGTGAATAATTAGTTTTGGTTTATGCAAAATGACATTTTGAATTAGTAAAAAAAATTGAAGTTTGAAAGACGTATACACGTACCCGTGTCTGAAATTTGGACTATTTTTAGTCATGTCCCTATATCCTACATTTTAGAATATAAAAGATCCTACACTTAGATACGTACACGTACCTGATACTCGTACCCGAGTCCAAGTATCATAGGCACTAAGTAGCACTATATGGAACTCATTTTCATTTATACAAACAAAACCCTAAACCACCGATACAGAGAGAAAAGGAGAAAGTAGAAGAAAATAGAAAGAAAGAAGAAGAAAAAGAAGGTAAAACCTAGCGCCGTCGCCTTTCTCCACCCTCTCGGCGACGACACTAGGTTTATAGAGAGCAAAAGTGGAAAATAAGAAAAGGGAAAGAAAAGAAAAGGGAAAAAAAAAAGAAGGAAGAAGAAGTAAAAATGACGAAGTGTCCAATTGAAATTTGGAGGATTCGACTTATATCTCATACCCATACCCATGTCGTGTCGTGTTCGATACAGGTACTCCAATTATTTCGAAGAGTCCGAGTATCAGAGCTTACACTAAACATTAATTTTTACCAGTGAAAGTGCACGAAATGTCGTTCAGATTTTCATTGCTGTTCAAAGGAACGTGGACACGACATCTGATAATAATGCGAACAGCAACCATTCCCACGATGATCTGGCTTCTGCTAAGAGAAACAAGCTATGTAGCAATTTTGCGAGTGATTCACAATTAAGTATCATTTATTTTCTTGACCTCAGTGGATGGAAGTTTTCAAGTGCTATCTCTGCATAATTAAGTCTAGTATGTCTCTGCATGTGTATGTATGACCAAGACAGGTGCAGTTGCGGTAATGTAACTCAAACCTTAAAGCTCCATTTTGTCATCTGGAAAATATTCCTCTAAGGGCCTACTTTCGCATCAAAGACTCTTTAAGTTCTATAGAATCTCAGACAGATGGACAAATCCTCCTTTTTTAAGATTGTACTTCATTGAATAATCAACATCACAATATATGACATTGCAATTAATACTATCATTTTTCGAATGTACATGGTGTGCATATATGAGGCCACTTATATCTTGAGGGAATTCTTTTCCAGATTAGGTTGGCTTCATGAAGTTTCACATAGAAACTGCAATTTTTGCCAACTGTTGTGCAGAGCTCTTGTACAACACCTTACTTGGAGGCTGAGAGTGCATACGTGCTAAATATGCATGTATATTATCTGGAAATGCTCCTGGCTTGAACAATACCAGAAGGGATGACAAATGCGGTAGCACGTTCGACAAATCAAATTTACCTAGAAGTTATCATGAGAGTATAGAAAATTGCTCTTCTTTGGGTCATCCTGTGGCTGTTGGGCTATGAACACCACATATCTCCATATTGGTATGATATTGTCCAATTTGGACCTAAACCCTCATGGATTTGCTTTTTGGGCTTTACCCGAAAATACCTCATACCAATGGAGATATTTGTCCATCTTTATAAACCTATGATCATCCCCACTTCTAACCTATGATCATCCCCACTTCTAACAATCCTTCCCTCGAACAAAGGACCACCGAGCCTCCCCTCAAACGATCATCCATCCGTCCACTCTCTACCAACCAGAATTCTCCACTCCAATGCATTGGAGGCACACGCCTTACATGGAATACCACCTATCTCGAGAGCTTGCTCTATCCAGATCAACTCCTCTTCACCGTGTTGGGGTCATGACACATCCATGAAGCATCCGGAGCACACCGCCTGTCCAATAGAGCTCATCCACGGATCCCATCGCAAGCAGACCGAGGCTCACCACCTTCGGTCAACATTTCGACGAATTCAACCACATGGCTAAGTCTGAGGTTTGGCTCTGATACCATTTGTAGGAATTTTGGGGCTCCAATATCCAAGTTCCGGGCTCAGAAAACAACCAAACGAACACCACATCAACCAGCTCGACCCAACAATCCTTTACACCTGGTTGTTTTATCCCCACAAAGGAGATATGGTGGTGATGATTGCAAGCCCACAAATGGAGGAAGAAGAAGAGGAGAAAACAATGGTTGGAACTCACCAAGAACCACCAACCCGGCTGTCTTTCTCTCTACCTCACGGCTGCCCTTCTTTCTTCACTCTCTACTTTTGCACACATACACACTAGAAAACGGTTGGGTTGGGGGCATAAAAAGAGTTCAATTAGGTCACTAAAACTTGGGCCAAACACTCTCCTCAAAATGGGCCAAAGTCCACTAAATAGGCTACCAAATAATTCCCACAGCTAACCATACAAATGGGCTAACAACATAACCATCCAAACCCAAACTTGGACAATCCAAAGTGTATTAATTGTTTCCAAGTCGAGCCGTAACTTTTGGTATCGCTAAAATAATCCGACAACTATTTTACATCATTGCCCGGATTTATTGGGTATAAAAAAACCCAACAGTGGCTTTACTTGTGCTTATGTGAGTGTGTGTGTAGCTAACTTAATATTAGATATTGACCATCTGATGTTGCAGCAAACACAATTAAATCTATTATGGAAGTTGGAACATGTCATGGAGCTTGTAACTCAGTGGTTAATAGATCAAATGAGGGCCACGCTTGTGCATCAACAGTTGTGTCTGCGGACATGGAGCCATATAGTCACATAGAATACAGTTACATCACCAGTGAACTTGCCGATCCCCCAAGTGAAACCATTGATTTAATTGGTAAATGTGAAAGTGGTAAAGAAATCCACAGCCACTTCAATGGCAATGATTGTGCAGGAGAGTTAAATTACCCTCCGATGTTGGAACTTTCACTTGAAAGATCATATCCCAGTTTCTTAAAAGATGAAGGAGCTGAAGATACGTTAAACCACTCAAAAGCATCTGCTTTTTCAAGGTATAGGGACTTCTCAGTCAACATTTTCCTGTACGAACTAATCATCCTCTAAATATGATTTCCAAAGTAACTGAAGAAATTATTTTCTGTGTTCATTGTTTTGAAATTCTGTGTTGGAAGGTAATGTAATTTTTATCTCCTTTCTGATTCTTTTCACAAACTCTCTGTTGACGAGTTCTAATTTGCAGTTAAAGGTTCAGTGGCCTTTCTACACTTGAATGAGTGACTATATCCTTGACATTTGCCGATCTTGTCTTCTACCTATATTTCATAAAGACAGAGTGCAAGGTTTTGTCTTCATGGAATCCTTGCCATGCATAAAAGGAAAAGATTTGCAGAGGGTCTAGCCTCCCAAAATCCCCTCACCCTCAGACCCCATTTTACTTATTGTTTGTTAGTTGCAATGTGGATTTGGACTGATGCTTCATTTCTAATCAAGTTGCCAAACTTAGAATTTGACTCATCTAGGAGAATGTTCTTCAGGTCCTTGTAAGTCTTGTCTTTAATTTTACATGTACAGCCAAGAATTCATTTCTTACTAATAATCTATTTCTAGGGTTGGTGCCATCTCCATGTATTCTTTAGACTCATATTCGTTGTTGGTAAATATTCTTTTTATTTACTTATCGAAAATCTCTCTATTCTCCCATTAAAAGTTTAAAGATTTTTCATATCAAAAGAAGTGTCTAGAAATACCAAACATTGTATGGTGATTTGCAATGACAATGCCAAGAACGACAGTGCAGGTCATCTTCCCCTTCACTACTTGTGTGTGTATTAGTGGATGTAACCTGATGTGTAATTCTGTTTTTCTTTTTCACCAGATATGGAAGTAGCGAGACACTTACCAGTTTCTCCTAAATTTTATGGTAATTTTCTTGCAACAAAGATGGTGAAACTGCTTCTCATGATCTGTTGGTCAATCAACTTCCTATTTTTTATAGTAAGGCTTTTAACAATCATGGAAGTCTGAACCTTTTTGGTCAATCTGGATGGCCTGAAGAAACCTTTCCCAACGTTCAGATGGATTTCACTCTGATGCCAGAGTAAGGGTTGACAGCGCATTCACAAGAAACATTCACTTATATTTTCGATGTATTATTCTCACTCAAATTTCCTTTCATTTTAGAGTCCCAAATCAGAGCATCAACCACAACCACCTAATTCACCAAGTTCTTAAAATGATTCGACTTCTGAAGTTTGTAATTCTGATCCGGTTCTCCAGCCATTTCATGATAGTGTGAAAAATCTGTCTAGTAAACTGTGCTATCAGATGATAAGTTTGAAACTGTTCCTGCAATTGTAAATGGTTGCTCAACTATTTGCATTGCAAGTGATCGTAGCGTCAAGGGATGAGGAAGCACGTGTGATAAAAGTGAGGTTAATATGATGCAAACTCCAGCCATTGCAAGAGCCACTCTCTTTGAGACTGTAAATGACAGTAAAGTCCTTGTTCATAACGAAACCAGAGAGACAAAATCTCATCACATCAGTGAAAGGGGAGCAGCCCTGATTAAGTCTCAATTGAAATGGAAAGCTTGTTGTTCACGAAAATATGTTCGCTTTGTAAAGCACCGCAAGTGCACGGTTCGTTAACAAGTAATAAAGTGGAAATTCAAGAATTTCGAGTATCGTTCCCACGAGGATTGATTTAACTTGATTTCTATTATCGCAACCTTAACCAAATCTATTAAACTCAATATGATTATTTTTTTTACTTTATGATGAAACTATAACTAATATGTAAATTAAACTAAAATTTTGATCTAAATGCAAAAG